TAGGTCAAGTCTATGGTTTCTTAGAGTTTGTATCATATGTACAAAAAATATTTCACTTAATATTAAATGATTTCAAATGATTCTTATATTGACCCAGGTCGGTACCTTAGACTCCCTATCTTACGGGGAAGATCAAAAAATGGTGCCTTGGCTTACGTTCAAGATAAAGTGGGAAAGAGGGTTCAAAGTTGAAAAGAAAGATTACTTTCTTTCTCTGGGAGGGAGGTTGTGATTAAAGTTATGGTAAATGCGATCCCTATCTTCCCAATATCAACTTTTAAGTTCCCAAAGCATACATGTGTAGAGCTGGACAGATTGGTTTCAAACTTTTATTAGAAGAATGACGATAAAAGGGGTGGTATTCATTGGCACTCTAGAAATTACTCGAACATCCCGAAACATGAGGGAGGCTTGGGCTTCAAGGATTTTATGGGGTCTAACATCTCTCTACTTGCAAAAACTGCTTGGAGAATTCCACAACAACCTGATAGTTTGTGGGTAAAAATTCTAAAGAGCGTGTGTTTCTTGAACAGTTCTTTTTTAAATGCTGAAAAAGGTTTATGGATTTGGGATAGGTGTGTTTCCCGAACAGTTCTTTTCTAAATGCTGAAAAAGGTTTATGGATTTGGGATAGTATTCCAGCTGGGAGAGAATTAATGATGAAAGACTTGTGTTGGCAAGTGGGAAGTGGCAATTATATACAGATTTGGCGTGAGCCATGGGTTCTAGGGGCCCCGAATTTCATACTGACCCATAACTCAAATGCCAGGGTAAACGAAGAATTACCTGTCTCCACCATTATCTCAAATGGACAGTGAGATTTGTCTTCTATTCAAGGCCAAACATGTGATGAGATGCTTATGCTCATACAAAATATCCCCATTACAGGCTCTAGACGCCCAAATAGATTGATTTGGGTTGGATCAAAAAATAGTGAATATGCTGTCGAGATAGGATATATATTGGAATTCTAGAGAACAGAGGTGAAAAGATTAAAACTACAAAGGCCGGTGGAGGTAACAGATGAGTCACTGTTGAAGGCCATCTGGAAACTAATTGTTGCACCAAAGGTAAGTCAATTTGTGTGGCACTTACTAAACTCCTCTCTAGCTACAAATGAAGCTCTAGATAAGTGAAGACGTATGATAGATCCTTGTTGTCCTATTTGTAATCAGGCAGACGAATCTTTGGAATACTTATTTCTTTATCGTGAATGGGTGAAGAGGGCTTAGTTTGGCTATTTTTTAAACCTGCATGTGGATCTAAATAAATATTTGAGTATTAAATTGTGGTTATGTGATATGCTGGGCAATCGATCCCCTTTGAATGACTATGGTAAAGCTTTTGTAGCTTATCTTTGCTGGAACATTTGGAAACATAGATGCAGAGTGCTTTTTAAAGGTGAGACACCAGACCCTAGAAAATTGATTATTGTTGCAAATGTAAGACATTTTGAGTTCTGGAAAACAAAAGGATTACTTGCTGAGAATTCATACCTTAACAGATCAGAGGAAATTAGATGCTGGACTAAACCTCCTCAAGGTAGTATAAAATTGAATTTTGATGGTGCTTTCAATCTGATTGACAGAAGGGCTGGTATAGGTATTATTGCTCGTGATTGTAATGGATCTATTCTTGCCGGCTGGTTTGAAAATGTCAATTCTTCCTCTAGATTTTTGGCTGAAATTTTAGTTGTTAGTAAGGTGATTGATCTTTCTCTTCTTTTTCCTATCAATCATGTATGGGTAGAGATGGACTGCGCTAATCTTTATAAGCTTTGCAGTGGTAGAAATATACTTTAATATGAGTGGCAATTCCAAAACCTTTTATGTGATGTATGAGAAAAACTTGTATCTTGTAATTCTATCTCTTTCTCCCTCATCCGTCGAGAGGAGAATCGTGCTACCAACTGGTTGGCAGGTTTTGCTTCAAAGGAGTTGGGATCTTCGGGTTGGGTAGAATCTCCACCACCTCCTCCTCCAGCGTTGCTGTTATTGCAAGATGCTAATTTTTCTTGTAGCAAGGATTGGTTTTTTTGCTTCTGTTTCAGATAGAACTGGAATTGGTTGATTTCTGTATTTTTTTATTTCCTGTCTGTTTTGTAATTTTCTGTTATTGTGTTTTATTTTTCAGGCTCTATTTCTAGGGCCTCGCCTCTTTCCTTCTGTTAATTGAATGAAATTCCTTTGGCCAAAAAAAAAAAGATTATTATGGTATTTTTCATATAATATACTTTTTTTATTAAAAGATGTAAGGTATTTTTAATTGAATTTCACCCAGCAATAAAGTAATTACTTACTTTTTAACGAACTCTATTTTTTTATATTTATTTCTATTAAAAATCTTACAATAAATATGAAGTCATTATTAATAGGAGCACTTTTAAAAAAAGACAATGATTACATATCAAAATATTAAAAATGTCTTACATTTTTAAACATTTAACTTTTCAAAAAATGCCTTATATTTTTAAACGGAGGGAGTAAGTATTTAATAGAATTTTATTCTAAATATTTTTTAAAAAATCATCAATAGTATGTAATAATTTTTACTTAAATCTGCCCCCCTCCCATTTCTATCGTGGTTCTGCCATTGCTTCTGTGCATACATATTATATAAACTGGATTCATTATCACAGGCACAGAACTTGCATTAATTTTAAAAATAAATAGTGTTAATGTAACTTTAGCTTACCTATATAAATAATATTATATTTATAATAGATGTTTGGGTAAAAAAATTTAGTAGATGGGATTGCTTATTTGTTTTATTATTTAGGAGTATTTTCCTATTGAATGCCATCTCTTAAATATTACTCGTATTCAAGATGCAAGACATTAAATGTAGTCACCTCTTCTAACAAAAATTTAAATTTAATTTATGAAATTATGAATGATTAATTTATTTTATTAAATCCAACTCTCATTAGGATAGATTATTTATGGTAGAGAGATAATTCCATCACAGGATTAATAACAAACATATATCCATCACATAGCTAGGCTAGAGATGTATTTTTGACAGGTTTAGTGACACAAATTTTTATCACAAAATAAAAAATTAGTGACAAAATTTGCTGTTTTACTTATATCGATTTGTATAGTTTATAAATACACAATAAACTTTAGACGGAGGACCTTTCTTATAAAGAAAATATTTTAATGTAGATATGACATTTTGCCACTGACATGTTTTCTGTATCCCGGTTTCTTGATGAGACTACTCTAGAAACTAATTACTCCCTCCAGTCCAGGATGTTTGACATGTTCTGGCGTGGTATATCACGTATATTATAAAAAAAAATTATTTTTCTAAATCTCAAAAACTAGGCGTATTTTTTTAGTTTTGCCCTTGTTCACAACCAATGCCTATCATTTTTCGTGCATAATTACTCAATTCATCACATTATCTAACACAACAATAAAAATAGAAAAAATTATTTCTTAAATTTACAGAATGTCGTATAAAAAATAAAAAAGCAGAAGGGAGATTTTTTTTCTCTTTGATAAATAGAAGAGAGAGCTTGTGATTGGACTGGCTTCTTTCTTTTTTCCACTCTTTCTATCTCGTCGTCACTTCTCATCTTAATTACTGAATTATTTTTAAATGATTAAAATTTAATATTTTATAAAAGTAATTAATTAATTAGTTGTTATAAAATTTTATATTTTAATAATAATTTTATGAAATATTAAAACACAATCAATTAAAGATGAATGATTGAATTTGTTAAAGATGAATGATCGAAGTGGAAAATGTAAAGAAAATGGAGTGGGAGAAAAAATGGAGGGAGGCTTAGTCCAGCTTTTGACGAGGCCGAGAGAAAAAAAAAAAAAAAAAAAGGGAACGTGAGAACTGAACTTTCGAATGAGCGAGTCTTCAGTCAACTCTTGCAATTTGCACATGTAATTGTCTACACATTTAATATGGCGAAGCTGTTCAGACCTCACAATTCAAATTCTGATCGTACAATCTCTTTTATTATTATTTTTTTGATACAACAATTTCTTTTAAAATTAAAAATCATTAATCGTGCATTTTTGTTAATGTTTACATGTATCTTTTGCGTTATGTGTGATTCTTCTCTTCCGTAATATAATGAGCATTCATTAATTTAATTTAAATTATTTGGATTTTAGTATTTTTTATTTTAAAATTTACACTTGTAATAGTATTTATATTTTATATTCTATTTTGTAAGATTAATAATATTTTTAAAAAAGGTAAAATTTTGAATTGCTTGAATTACATTTAAGTAGTCAAATCAAATGTGAATGATGAAATAGTATTTGGAAGAGACAAGTTTTTTCTACTCAAATCCAAACTCGCGCATTGCATCTGATATGTCCGATGTGAAGAAGTGATTTCATTCTGCCTTCCTCCATTCACATTAGAAAATAAATAGAAAGGCAGAGACCTTTTTTGAGAAAAATAATAAAACAAACCCAAAACTCAAGGAACAGATAATAGCTATATAAAAAAAATCAATAAACATTTAATTTGACGTTCATCTCAATATTAACATTGAACATAGTGAAGTTACAAGCGGTACAAATGAATATAATTTTTCATATTTCAATATAAATTTTAAAACAATAATTATATTTTTTAATTTTAAACACAACTTTGTCCTAATTAAGGAAAGCCTGCAAAGTAAAATATTAATAAATATGAAGTCCCGTTTAACTATATTGATTGAATTCACCAGGCAGTTTCTCTCCATCTCATGATCTCGTCCTTACGATTCCCTTTGATATTAAAAAAAAAACAAAATTTTAAATATATATATATATATATTTTTTTTTTGATGAATTTGTTTTTCGTTAGATTATGTAAGATGTGAGCTATCACATACAGTAACTTCGAGGTTTTCCGGGTTAATTAGTTGGAACAATGAAGTTTAAAGTCAACGCGGGATTGACTTTGATATCAATCGAACCCGTCCTTGCCGCAAGAGATTGAAGACAGTGACCCAGAAACACCAAAATATCAAACCGACAAACACACATTGCTTTTTGTTTGTTTTCTAAATATTCAAATGTGAACCCTCCAAATGCGTTCAGTGTAGCTTCCGACAGCTTCAGCCCCAGCAACAACCGCGAGCTTTCCATCGCCCCCACAGATCCCAATCAATAGATGAACGCGCCTCTGAAGATTCTCTCTTTACAACAAACTCATGTCCACTGCATGATTACACCAGATTCTATATTATTCATTGGAACCTGTGATTGAGAACCCAGGTTTCAAGTTTCTTTTATAATGTGGGTGTCGAGTACGAGACTGAGGTTGAGGATGGTGCTTCTGGTGTGTTTGATTTTGTGGGTTTGGTCGGGAGGAATGGCTATGGCGGCGAGTGCTGAGGCAAGTGGGAGTACAAGAGAATTGGATCAAACACCAACATGGTCTGTTGCTGCTGTTTGTACTGTGTTCATCTTAATTTCCATAACCCTCGAGATGAGTCTCCACAAAGTTGGAACGGTACGTCCCTCACGAAACCTTTCCGTTGAATTAAATTTGATCTGAGTCTCAAATTAGAATGATTAAGAATAAACAAATCAGTTTTCTTACATTACATCTTGATGCAAAATTGTGGATGAACTCTGTCATTTCTTTCTATTTTCAGTTTACTTTTGACATTAATGGCGTGTGGTAAAATTTTATAACGTCTAATGCGAGTTATCACTTAAGGAGATCATAAGTTCTGTCAGTTTTTTCATTTCATTTTTATTTTATACTTTCATGTTTTGTTATAATAATGTATAATACTAGTTGGTATGTTTATTTGGGTGAAATTACAAGCATATGAATTTATTGACACTTTATAGTGAACTTTGTTCCTTTCTCGTATGGCATTTCGTTGCTTCAGTGGCTAGGACAAAGACATAAGAAGGCTTTGATTGAAGCTCTTGAAAAGGTTAAATCTGGTAAGAATTTATTTAAGCAAATGGAATAGAGTAAAGCTGAAGAATCAAATATGACGGAAAACAAAAGAAACATGTTACGCAAAACAAGTCAGATTCAAGTCCTTGAATTTTTTTTAATTATGTTTTAATATAAATGTCAAGATCATTTCATATATCTTCAAAAAAAAAAAAATCATTTATTTGTGTTGTTGCAGAGCTGATGATTATGGGGTTCATATCATTGTTGCTGACATTTGGCCAGACCTACATTTTAAGAATATGCATTTCTTCAAAGGTAGCAGACAGAATGTTGCCATGTCCACTTGATGGAACCAATGATGTTTCAAGCAGTGAAGAGGCTCACAGAAGGAAGCTTCTGTCTTCTGAACGCAGATTTCTAGCAGCTTCTTCTTCCTCTTCTTATTGCAAGCAGGTACCTCTGTTTCCATATTGAATTCATCCTAACCGACTAATTCTATTCTTGAGTTCTTACATCACATGAAATTTGAGGAAACTACAGTTTATGAATAGTTTGATTTACTGTAAATTTTATAATCATATTAGTTTTTTAAATGATGATGTTATATCATCATCGTCGTCATCATCATTTATTCATTTATTTTTTGGTAAAAGGGATATGAACCACTTATGTCCGTAAATGGATTGCACCAATTGCACATCCTCATATTCTTCTTAGCAGTCTTCCATGTCCTGTACAGTGCTGTCACCATGCTGCTTGGGAGACTAAAGGTCTGCTTTTATCTTCTGTAATTGTTACTTTACTTTTAATTACTTCTTCTGTGTTCTTATTTACTGGGAAGGATATTTAAATGGTTCAGAGCTCATTTTCAATTTTTCCAAATTTATTGTCAATGACATTAATTATGTTATGGTGAAGTAACTAGTGAATGAAACCCGTGTGTTGCATAGAGCTATACATAGCAAGTTGAACTGTTCATGGCTTATGAACAGTTTGGATTTTTATAGATTTGTTAGATATATAGATATGACTTTATAGAAAGATGATGTTAGTTGAATTTATGCAGATTCGTGGCTGGAAGGCGTGGGAGGCGGAGACTTCGTCTCATGACTACGAGTTTTCCAATGGTGATACCTACGATGTCCAATATAATGTGCAAATGTGCTTTCCTTCTCAGTGTCAAAATCACAATTCCTCAATCTTACTATCGACATCATTTTGCAGTGTTTAAATCATTAGGAACAAGACTTGTTGGTTTAAGTTTGTTGAAATAACGATTCTAGATCGTTGAAATTTTTTAGACTTTGCAAGTAATGCCGGATGACTATGATCCTTCAAGAGGCTTCAATCTCATGTTTGTGTGGGTATTTGTGTGCAGATCCTTCAAGATTCAGGCTTACTCATGACACATCATTTGTGAAAGCTCATGCCAGTTTTTGGACAGGAAATCTGTTATTTTTCTACATCGTAAGCCCCATTTTAACAAGACATGCACACACATTTCTTTCTTTTCTTTTCTTTTCTTTTGTTTTTTTTCCGAGGTAGACCATGAATGTCCTGTAACTTCACTGAGAATAATGTACCATCTCATCATATCTTACAGTTAACATTTTGTTCACCTATTAGAAAGAGATTTTTTTTTTTTTTTAACCACATAACATGCACCAAGCAGGTCATTAAGTAGTTTTTTTTTTTTTTTTTAATTTCAGGGATGCTTCTTCAGGCAATTTTATAGGTCTGTTGGTAAGGCTGATTACTTGGCTTTGCGCAACGGATTTATCACAGTAAGTATCTTAATCCATAGAATAAATTCTTTCAAAGTCGGAACAACCTAGTACCTACCATTTTTAAGAATGCAATGATGTATAATGCATATCATGTATAGGTCCATCTTGCTCCTAGAAGCCAATTCAACTTCCAGAAGTATATAAAAAGATCCTTAGAAGATGACTTCAAGATAGTTGTGGGAGTCAGGTAATATATTTATGGCATGCATTTAACTATTATATATGTCTTCTTCTTCTTCTTTTTTAAAGAAAAAACTTCTGTGCTTATTCTGTTCACCGATCACCATATTTGTTTTATTGACAGTCCTGTGCTGTGGGCGTCGTTTGTAGTTTTCTTGCTACTAAATGTTGATGGTAAGCAAACTACTTTTCTTAGCAGGTGTTTTTGAAATTTATGAATTATGAAATCACAATGAATGTAATTTGCAGGATGGCGCACAATGATTTGGGCGTCCTTACTTCCTGTGGCTGTAAGTAACATGTTGTATCTGCAAATTCTGTAAAATGGTAGATTGGTTGAGGTGAAAAGGCAAAGTGATTGAATTTGAATGGCAGATAATAATGGCGGTGGGAACAAAACTGCAAGCAATTCTGGCAAAGATGGCTCTAGAGATCACAGAAAGGCATGCAGTTGTACAAGGGATTCCTCTTGTTCAAGGTTCTGACAAATACTTCTGGTTTGGTCGTCCCCAGTTAGTTCTTCATCTGATTCATTTTGCTCTCTTCCAGGTATTAGCTTATTCAATGCTCTTTTGTTTTGTTTTGTTTTTTTTGTTTTTTTTTTTTTGGTGTCAGAATTGAAGATGGTAACTCAGATTTTCTTTCTTGCAGAATGCATTTCAAATCACTTACTTCTTGTGGATATGGGTAATGAACCGTGCATCTTCCTCAAACTGATCTTGAATAATTAATTAATGTTTTTGTGTTGTCTTTCCAAATTAAGGTCATAAATGATTCGCTCCTCTATTTATTTGCAGTATTCTTTTGGGCTCAAAAATTGTTTCCATGCTGACTACAAGCTTGCAATTTTGAAAGTCGCCTTAGGGTAAGCCTTTCTCAGCAATAATAGGATTTAAACTCTCCTTACTAATTACATTGTGAGCCAATGTTTGCAAGGAATTTAAAATGAAAAGTATAACTTCCCCATAGATTTTATATTAGACATAATATATATATATATATATATATAGATTGAAGGAAAAATTACTAGTGAAATCGATATATCCAACACAATTACAAACTTAGACTGATCACACCAGCACAGTAGTATGTGGGGAAATCTTTGAGCGAACAAAAATTGGATTAGTTGGTAAAGATTTGAGTTTATAGCACATGATCTCGTGGGTTCAAATTTTACTACTAATATAAAGATCTTATTGATGGACAACCTATTAAATATCCCTTTAAGTGATTTTAGAGCTTAAAAGCAGAGCTTCTAGAATCTAATTCACCTAGACTCTTATCTCACTGGAAAGGATGATGGAAAGCCTTTGAAGAATATTGCCAAAAAAAAAAAAAAACAGAAGAAAAAATTCACAAACTGATGCAAATTGTTCTAAATGGATCCGCAGGAGTGCAGTTCTTTGCCTCTGCAGCTACATTACACTTCCATTATATGCTCTTGTAACTCAGGTACGTACCTTCCATTTAATCACTAATTAGCCATAAGCTCTTGAAGCAACCAGTTTCGTGTCAGATAACTCAGCAACACTGACTATTATTCTCTACATTCTTTGACGGTAATCACACACACGAATACATATAATTTAATAAATGTTGGGAAACACTTTTTGCAGATGGGATCGTCGATGAAAACGTCAGTATTTGATGAACAGACATCAAAGGCGTTGAAGAAATGGCGAGATGCTGTGAAAAGGAAGGGAGGAGCAAAGGCTCCTACTAATAATAATGATACCCAACGCAATGGTTCATCGTCAGCATCGCTGCTTCCTGCAACCAAACTACGTCGTTTCAAAACAACCGGTCATTCGGGCCCTTCCTGGACCCATGAGGATGTTGAAGCTGACGACCCTCTCTCTTCTTCGCCAATTTCATTAAAAACCAGTTTTAGCATAAGAGTGGAACGTGATAATGAACTTGTTGGAGCATCCAAAGATCAACCACATGGCTAGAATCCCATATTATATTAGAGTAATCTAGAAAAGTAGTCCTCCCCTCTATATATATAAAATATACACGCACCACAAGAAAATAATAAAAATAGTGTCAACTTGTTTCAGTCTTGCACGAGTTTTGTCTAAATCGTACATATTTCTTTTATTTTATGACGATTGCAATCTTGTTTTTAGTTTTTGTTTGATGTAGTTGATAATTAAGAATACAATTCATCTTCTAAAAAGTTGTCAACTTAAATTTTACGCGAGGATCTCAATTATAAATATTATATAAACACATATATGGACTATTGGCATTTAACTGTAGAGGTTTAGGGGTAGAATCAGGCTTTGGTTTAAATAGACTTAAGTTTGTATGGTGAGAGGTCTAAACCTGACCTAAAGTTATATAATTTTTTTTTTCACGATTCTGAATTTGACTTAAAATTTGTATAAGATTTTTTTCATGACTTAATTCTAAGTTTATCTAAAATCTGGATTGATTTAAAAGCTTATTTAGAAAGCTGCTTGAAAGTAAACTTTTTAAATAAACTTACATTTTATTTTTAAACATCTTAAATATATTTTAGAACTATTAATATATAATATATAACCTGATTTATTAATTATAATATATAATAATTAAAAATATTTATCAATTACAACACAACAATAAAGTAATAATATTAAAATTAATATATAAGTCCAATCCCATTAAAAACATAATTAAAAATAAAAAGAATATATTTTTTAAAACTCAGAGGGTGAAATTGATGTATATGTGATATGTTACATAATGTGTGTGTGCAAATAAGCTAGTTTATTAGTCTTATAGGCTAGACCTTTAAAAAATAAGCCTAACTTATTAATCAAATAAGTCTAATTAAAGGCTCAAATCTGGCTAGAATCTATTGAGTAAATATATTAGACTAGGTTTGAAATAGGTTAAGATGTAGGCTCATGATAAAGAGCCTGATCTATTCTCACTCCGATGTAAAGCTTGGGCTTATATAAATCTGTGGAATCAACTTGCTTAAGCTTTTATTCACTATTTTAAAATACACATAAATCTATCTTAAATTTATAAAATTATTAAGGGGCTTAGTTGCTCTCCATTGTGATTTTTTTCACCGTGTTTTCACTGTAAATCTAAACTATTTATATTAAATTTTAATGGTATATATTAATCTGTACTTTTAGAAGCTATTTAATCTAAATCATCAAATTCAATTTAAAAGTCCACACGTGGGTAGTGTTCTTTTTTTTTTCTTTTCCTAATTGTGTATATGTGTCTTTCTATTAAAATGATTTGTATTTGAAATATGGTCAAATCTTAAACATGCGCATCTCCCTCAATAAATATTCAAACCTTGGTTTACTCTTTCAGAACGAATTAGTTATCCTTGTTGACGCAGTGTTTTTATTGGTTAGTGGAGAGAAAGATTTTCATTTTCAGGACATGCGCCATATGGTGGGGCGGTCCATAACGCAAAGGGTCAGGTCTAGTGAAAATAATAAATATTGGTGAAGTTAAATATCGAATATAAACATATACATTCATGTACAATTAGGGACAGATTTAAGGGAAGGTCAGCACACAAACATTTACATCCTTGTAAATGTTTGAAGTCATGCTTTAGAAATTTGTTATAAAAATTGTGTAGTTAAATCTTGTTCCCCAATAGGTGGAAGAAGAAAATCTGACCTCCCCAAAAGATAATCATAGATCCGTCACAATTTAAAATAGTAATTATTTTACAAGCAATGCCGCATGACTATGATCCTTCGAGATGCTTCAATCTCATGCTTGAGCGGGTATTTATGTGTGCAGATATACTTCAAGATTCAGGCTTACTCATGAAACATCACTTGTGAAAGCTCATGCTAGTTCATGGACAGGAAATCCGTTATTGTTCGACATCGGAAGCCCAACCAGTAACATTCTTGTTTCTCGCACAAACGCACATTTCCTTTTCTGCGGTATGGTATGAAACTTCCAGAGAGAGGATCAACCAAAATCCTATTGGCATGTTACCTTCTCATCATCTCTATTCATCCATTTGGTTCCCCTATTGGAAAAAGATTTTTTTCCCCTTATGCACATAAAATAAAACATGTAATATCCAACATATACATACATACATACATACACACACACATACATAATGATTTCTTATTGAATTTTAAAAATTATTTTTATCCCATTTCTCTACGGATCCCATTATATTCTACGTTACCAAAGGGCCTTTTTTTTTTTTTTGACAAACAACGAAAGACAATAAAAGGAACACAAGTAACTCATAGAACTAGAAATAAAAGTGCTGACATCTTCAAGTGGCGTAAAGTGGAGTCCAATGGTAATACAAGAGCACATTTCTTCATCTTTAACACATGACCGAGATCAATAGTCCAATATCGATGGAGTAAATTTTAGCATTTAGAAATTAATTCCCAATTAGCATGAAAATCATTAGTACCAAAGGGTGAATTAGTTTTCAATTTCAGGGATGACTTCAAGGGAGTTGTGAAAGTAAGGTAATAAATTTGTAGCATTTAACTACTATGTATGTTTGGGTTTTCCTGTTGTAGCTTTTTGTGTGTGTGTGTGTGGGGAAAACTTGCTTATATGCTTTCTCTGTTTCATCACATTTTGACAGTCCTGCCCCGACCCTGTGGGCATCATTCGCAGCTTTCTTGTTACTCAATATTCATGGCAAGGAAACTATTTATTTAGGGAATAGATCCTTTCCTTTCAAAAAGTTCATTGCCCTTTTTTTAATAATTAGGTAAATAAGTTGATTTAATAGTCTCGCAACGCATTATTATTCAGTGGTGGAGAGGTCCGTAGAAGGAAACTTTTGTATTGGACATAACTAACTCCGTCTTTGGAGAAACAGGCCGAAACTTTGTAAATCATGGGCCTCATTTAGTTAAACTTTTAATTCAGTGTTGGTCTATAATAATACTATGAGAAAAAAGGAGCCTCTCATGATATTTGACATCCTTTCTTTTTGTATCAAGCATCATCATTTATATATTAAAAAAAAAAAACAGAATCTCATGGAGTCTAAAATCATACTTGTTCACTCCCAGTTCAAAAAGGCATTTAGTATTGACACTGGCGGAGCCAATATTCTAGGTCAGGACGGGCAATTTGGTGCAAGGAAAACATTTGTTTCTTCCAAATACACTATTTATCTTTCTCTCTTTTTCTTTATTTTTGCTTCTTAAGCTATATATTTGCAAGTGCAACAAGCTAGTGAAAGGCATTCAGTGAATTTACTCTTGAGTTTTTAATCTTTATTTTAACTAATCCTTGAGTACTATTCTCAGAATAAGGATGACACGGGTCTGATTTAATTAAATTATTTTTTTCTTCTGTTTTTTAAAAGGATTTATAAATAATATTGATGTTTAAGTATAGTGAAATCATGAGCTAATATTCATTAGGCTTTGAGTTAAAAAAAATTAAATTTTAAATCTGGGCTAAATGTAAGATTGAAATTGGTCTAAAATTTAAAATATTCAAAATAAGGGGTGCACAGTATAAAAAACAAGGAACAAACTGCAAAAATATAAAAATACATACTCCATTGATGTTATTTTCCCCAAGCGTCGATCAGCAGTAACGATTGTATTTTTTATTTGAGACGTGTTCGATGATATTTTCTTTAAAAAAATTTTGCCATATAGGTGGATTGCATCAACTCTCCAAAATTAAACGAATCTTCCTTGTTGAAGAGCACATGGTGATAGGAAAGCACAAAACGTAGAGGGAAAAGCAAAACTCAATAAGAGAGAAAAAGAAAGCCTGGAAGTTAGAGGACGACGTGTTTGAACACTACATGCATACCTTATATAGGTTGTCAATATAGAGGAAAGTTGGGCAACATTTAAAAAAACCTTTTAAAAGTTTATAAACATTGGAGCATTGAATTTGGATTACAAAGTTCACCATTGATCACTATTAAGCATTGCAGATTTATAAATGTTGAAGCATTCAATCCGGATAAAAAAAATTCGTTCCTGATTGTCATGCCCCATTCGTGACAGCAAAACACTTTAAAGGAGTATTCAAGGCAATTAAACTTCCAATGTTTCAGAATACTAGTATTTCGATATTAATGCTTTCTGGTAAAATATTTTAAATAAGTATTTTGAAGTGTGCAAAAATATTTCTAGCAAAAAGAGCTCAACACGACATCGAATTTCAACCAAGTTGATCAATGTTGGGTCGTGGGCTCATTGATATGAAGCAAGCCCACTCTTCTCTTTGGTCTGTTTACGAGCACCATAAATTTCTCTTGTTTGAATGATGCGAGACTTATTCTTTTAACACAAACTCACAAAAACTACAACAATCACACGAGAAATTATTTATCCACATCAGCCTTTGCCAATTAGAGGGCAATTTATTGTTTTAAAATTGTAAGTTTTGATCTTTGGTCCCTTTAGAGTAATAGAATTTCATCCCAAGAGTAATTTAATTATAAAAAAAATTTAAAATATACCATTGAATAATAGTGGAAACAGTGCTCCAAGTTGCATTCAAATCACACTTACCCAAACGCCGTGCGTTTAGTGGCTGTGGGTTTTTGAAGTCAAGCATTAGCTTAGCTAGTCTCACGACTCTTATCCGCTCGCTCACTATTCGCAATTCGCCTTTCCCTTCAGTCCCCGACTATAAAATACCCTCTTGTCTTCGCCAAAGAGCTTTCCTACAACACTCCACTATTTCCCCTTTACTCTCCGATTTCTCGGTCACGCCAGTTTCCCATGACTCGTATTCTCAAATCCGTGGACAACTCCACCTCCGTTGCCGCCGCCGCCACCATCGCCGCGGCGGCGCCACCTCCTGAGGCCGTGGCTTTGGAATCAGACTTCGTGGTAATCCTCGCGTCTCTGCTTTGTGCTCTCATATGCACCGTCGCCCTCATAGCCGTCTGCCGCTGCACCTGGTTCAGACGCGGCGGATCCGGACCCGGCGGCGGAACTCCTGGACAGTCCCTTGCGAATAAAGGTCTGAAGAAGAAGGTGCTCCGATCCATGCCGAAATTCACTTACATTGACAGTAATTCCGAGAAGTGGCTGGCCACTTCGGAGTGCGCGATTTGCTTGGCCGAGTTCGTCGGAGCCGACGAGATCCGAGTTCTTCCGCAGTGTGGCCACGGTTTCCATGCGGCGTGCATAGACACGTGGCTTGGGTCCCACTCTTCGTGCCCTTCGTGTCGGCAGATTCTTGCTCTACCTCCGAGGTGTCGGAGGTGTGGCCTTTACCCGGCTGTTCGCGGCGGAGAAGCCAACACGATTGGTGGCGGTGAACCGGAGCACAAGTCCCGGCATGACGATAATGCCACTACTGCTATTAATGACGATTATGTTAATAGCTCTACGAGCGAGCATCAAGGGCCAAGAGACAATAATGGATTCCTTCCATAAATAAATAAAAAAACTGGTATTGTTTTCCTTAATGTAGTAGTAGAATTCTTCTTTCTCAGTCCTTTTTTTGGTTTTTTAATGTTCATGTTTCAAATTTTTAATCTTCCAAATCATCTACTGTTTCATGCGGTTTAAATGATTGGAGTGTGGTCCATGTAAATCAAATAAGGACAAAAGAAAATTACAGATTTTCTATTCACGGACGATGTATATTCTTAAAACTAGCAGCGTTCGTGGTGTATATATTATTTCAAGAGACGTGTGCATCAGCGCATTGTGATTCGCAATGCTGACTGAGCGGGTTGTTTGCTTAGTTTTCTTTTCTTTTTATTTGTTTTATTTTTGGCCAATAAGATCTTTGGTTAGTTAGTTCGACAAGACTATAATTTTGTTGGTAAAAAGAACAAGATTATAATTTAAAAAAAAAACTGGTTGACCTTAATGACATATTAGAAAAATAACAAATTTTTTTAATCATGAAAGTTACTCCGTTTTTGGTTTTAAATTTATCATTAGTGCTTCTTAAATTATCATTCATGCTTTTTAAGTTAAATGCTTAAAAATATTATCAATAAAATATAAAAATGCGTTAAACCTTTAAAATATCTTGTATTGTTGCTTTATAAAAAAAATATCTTGCATTGTTTATTCATTTATTTTTTATCTCAGTGTAGCTTGTTATTTCTACATGCTTGATAAAAAAGTCTAGAAGAATCACACCCGGGTTCCCTTCGGTCTTGAATATAAATTCCTCTCGAAGCTTAAAAAAAAAATTAAGTTCATTATTTGTAATTACTTGTAATTTGTATAGAATTTATGACACTTTTTTAAAAATAACCCTACCATTTAATTATTAAAATTTAACGCATATAACTATGTCTCAGTAAATAGAGCGTGGTGAAAAAAAAAGATAAATTTAATATGAAAGATGAGAAAGAATCAGACTTTATACTGAGGATCAAACCAAAACATGTATCTTATAGTTAATATTAGTAGTTAATAATAATAATTATTATTAAAGGGAGAGAGATAGAGTGAGGTGTCCAGCGGAGGAAGGAACAGTGAGAGAAAGAGGAGGCGGACGAACGAGAGAGGAGAAGCATGGCTTGCATGTCAGCCAACTAACCCAGCCACATCCATTGACCGACCTCCCCACTCATTTTTGTCCCTTCCTCCGTACTCGTGTCTTAGATTTTTGTTTTTTTTTTCCCCAACATATTTGCTATGCACCACTATTTTGAAAACCAATCCAAACTGACAGTCGTATTGTCGACTAACCTGGTTTTAGATTTGGTTTATAAGAAAAAATTATTTTAAAAGTTGAGTCGGGTTAAGCCTGAACCAGCTGTCGGATTGGGAATCAAAATTAAGTCGGGAATCAAATCTAATTTTCAAAAATTAGACTGATTAAAATTTTTCATCAAATTTTTTTTAAAAAATGACTAAATTTTTATCAACTTTTTTTAAAAAAACAACCTTACTTAAAAAACCTATGCTAACAAAACCACTCTCCACCATCGAAATCCTCATGGACAACACCATCCACCAACAACACAGATCAAAGAGCCTTTTAGAACAACAACAATCAACAGTGCAAAGAAATCGAAGGTGGGGAAGAGTAGTGTAGAATAAAGCATTGACGGTGAAGAAAATCACAACTAGGAGGGGAAGTATTGGCAAGTGCAAGACATTAGAAACGGTACGGTGAAATCAAAATCCAAGGTGGCTATCAGTTATAGATCACAGGTCTGGGTTTTGACAATGACTACCATGGCATTGACCAGATCGTTGCCTTTAAGCCTTCAAGAGGGAGGGAGGGAGGGAGTTGGTGGCAATGGGAGTGCAGAGAATGCATACTCCATCAATCATTCTGCGGCCTCATCATTGTTGCATCTCTTCTATGGCTTCTTCATCAATGGCATCAATGCTGTTGGTGGCAATGAAAGGAAAAAGAGTGATGGTGGAGGCTTGGCTGGGAGCGACGATGGCAACAGAGGGCCAGATGCAAAAATCCTTACTCTCCAAAGACCATTGCCATCGAAAATGGTGGTTGGGTGTGGTGGGGATGTTGAAAATTTGAGTAAGGTGGTTAAAAATAGGAGGGGCAAATCTATCTAAAAATTTCATTGATGGGGACGTCATGGTCTTAAATAGTATAATTCCATGTAACCTTTCCCATTGCCACGAATCTGCCTATGGAAACCAATTCATTCTTTTTTGGGATTCAATTCCACACAAAAACCTAAGCCATGCAAACCAAACACGTTAAGGTCTAAATTCCACTTCCATTTCTTCCTTTTCAATTCCTACATTTCAAAAGTGCCTTAAGATATTGATAACTACTCTTTGTCCTTAAAAAAATTAGTCAAAATTTTAATCTTTTAAAAATTTATACTCCCTTCATTAAAAATGTAAGAAATATTTTGAAAAATTATATATTAAAAAATACAAGGTATTTTTAATCTTTTGAGATGTAATTATTGTCTTTTTTTCTAAAAGTACTCTTATTAATAATAACTTTATATTTATTGTAGGGTGTTTAATATGAGTAAATATGAAAAGATAGGGTTAGTTTAAAAGTAAATAACTATTTTATTGAGGGTGAGATTCGGTTAAAAATGTCTTACATTTTTGAACGGAGGGAATATATCTCTTTAATTATAGCCTCTTTAGATGCCCATATAATAAGTATCTTTCATAACAATAAATGAAATTTTAATGAATCTTTTTTTAAAATAATAATAATAGTAAATGAAATAAAAATATAGTTGTAGCTTGAAAAGAAATCATAAGAACTAGTAAGTGTTATATTTTGGCAAATAGAGTTTCTAGACATGTATTATAGTATCGATAATATTATGAGTATTTGGCTTTTAGTGTTTTTTTCATTTTCATCATTTTATTTTTCTTTTTGAATTTATTATTTAAATTCATATTCAATGTAGGACATTTTATAAAAATTAATATTGAAATTTAAAAAATCAATAATTTTAAATCACTAAAATTTAATCTAAACACTATGGCTATGGGTCTCAATAATCTGTACAAGTAATTAATCATTAATTATTCCTTCATACAAAAGTATAATATTCTTTAATTGGATTACATTCTAAATTAGTTAATTATATACAAATGTATATCATTTTTTTCTTTTTTTAAATAGGGTATCTCACTTAGAGGTGAATAGTTAAATAATTTATTTAAAAATATTTTAATAAAACTCATTAATTATATATATTGAAAAATTAAAAATACCTTATGTTTTTTTTTTCAATAGAAGGAGTATATATAATATGACTTTATTTTATTATAATTTTTTATGTTATATATAGTCCAAAACTTAAAAACAAAAAATAAAATGAAAAGTGAAGAAGGGAGAGAAGGCATGGAACCGCCCTAAATAATTTTATAACTCAATCTCAAGCATCTCACCATTTGCAAGATCTGGATTGTTCGTGTGACCCTACAGAGCAGATGAAACCAAATTCAAAAAAGCAGAATGCAAATAGAATATTCAAATTTAATGAGTGAAACGCGTTGAGTTCTAATCTTCTGATTAGCTTTTGAAGACGTGGCCTCATCCTATTTATTTGTTGTTGCACAATCTGAAGCATTGGATGATAACGGCCAGAACATCACCTGAGCAAATTTTAACAAATAAAACCATACCCGTCCAATCTTATTTATAAGACAGTGAAAAAAAAATTAATATTATTTACAGAGTATTTATTAATTTTTAATACTTCTCTTTATATTTTTATTCTTATTAAATGATTTGAATAAAAATATCAGTAATAGGATTGATGAATGTCTATTAAGAGTAAAGATGAAAACTTATTAAATTTTAAGATAAAATTAATGAAGTTTAAGATTTTTATTAATTTTAATAAAATATATTAAAAGTAATTTATAAATAGGATAAGAGAAAGTATATAATTATAAATTGTCGTGTCCTTCTGTATGTGGAATCTGAGCAATTTTTACGCATTATTGACGAAATAATTATACACAGTTTCTTAAACTTTGAAGTTTAAACCATGTACAAATAATCAACTATGCCTTTAAAACTTGACCAGTAGCACCTTTTTTTTTTTGGTTGTTTGTAAAACACTAAAGATCATCTGCTCATATTAGGAATAAAGATGATTGTTTATAGGTTTCCCTTTAGTCTGCTTTTAGTTTCTGTTGTTCAGTTGAATGATATTCAGTTTCTTACTCAAAAAAAAAAAAAAACGATCATCTGCTCATATTTAAGGGTGTGTTTGGTTGTAAAAGAGGAGCGAGAAATGGGATTATAATTACTTCATTTTTAAAAAATAAAAAATTGAGTTGAAAAATTTTAATCAATTTTTCTTTCTTTTATAATTGGCATAACTAAGTAAATTATTTCAGGTTTAATAATATTATAGATTTTAAACTTGTTTATTGTGTAAATTATTCTCTTCACTTTTAAAAAGATATAATTTGACTCCTGTCATTAACAAAAACTAATTTTGACCATTTGTTGACCAAAACATAATAGAAAGGAGGAACGTTAAAAATTATGAAAATGACTAAGAAATTATAATAAAGGATCCAAAATTACAGAAGTAACCAGAATCTTTTATTGTAGTTTTTGAGATATCTTTCTATTATTTTATGGTCAACAAACTATCAAAGCTAATGTTTGTTGAACAGACAGAGATCATATTATTCGTTTTCAAAAATTAGGAAAACAATTTACATAATAAATGAGTCAGGGTTTATAATACTATTAAACATAAAGTTTAGGATCCTTTATAATTTACAATTCTCCTTATGATTCCGGATTCCTAAATGCACACATAATCACACTGATATGCAGTTTGCGGTAAAAAAAAAAAAAAGTGAAACACTCCGTTACTACCACATGTGACGGAACTTGCATGGTATGTGTATGTGGAGTGTGCCAATACCATCGAGTGATTAATTATGGATACGTGGGAATGAATAATATTAATGATTTCACTGAAAGGCAATCATGCAAGAGGCAGTGCTTTTACTAATTAGTCATTATTATTCACTGCCCAACATCATAGGTGCTATACCCCACCCTTCTTCTTCAAGCCTTTATTCCCAGTGTGTGTGGATCCCCTGCTCATAACATCTCAAACCAATGAAATACCCATAGTGAGGGTGGATAAAATGAAGAAGAATGATCCATAATATATAAATATGATTATGTAGATTTTCATGAGTGACAAGACACTCATTCCTAGCTAACATTAAGGTATGAAAAATCATAATATTGATTCAATTACTAAGACTTTAAATCAAAAACTATGAGATTGTGAGATCAAATTCTCCTACAATGTGATCTTATTAATGGTAATTTATAAATATTTTTAATAAGTATTTTTTAACTTAATTCTGTACTCTTATTTTGAGGAACCTAACACCTAACGTGACTAAAAAATCAAGGGAGGGGAACCAAAAAGTACTTTTTTAAATAAAGAAAAAAGAAAAGAAAAGAGAAGAAGCAGAAATTAAACTCGCAATGGAAAAGGTATAGTCGTAGGGATGCTTTTGGCTGTGGTCCTCCTCTGCATCTATCCTAGTTCCGCTCTATAGAAAATATCTGCAATGGCATTCAAAAAGATAAAAAATCTGCAACGGGGAATGTAAGTGGGACCTGACCCATCTCCTAATTTGATTTTTTTTTTTTTTTGTAATTTTATTTTTTAACTATAAATTTAGATTGAATTTTTTTATGATTTAATTTTATTTTTGATTTGTTTGAATTTAGAATTTATCGTTCATCGTATATTTAGGTGGCTTATATAAAAATATAAAATCAACCCCTCTTAAACCTATAAAAAAAAAAATCTACCCAATCTTAGGCCCATTTGGTTCAATAGAAGTATTTTGCTGAAAATGAAATTGAAATAGGAAAATGAATTGGGTTTAAAATATAAGTTTGGTAATTGAAAATTTTAAATGAAATCCTTCTACCCAAAAATGTTAAAAATACAATATTATCCTTATAAAAATAAATTAAATCAAGGCATCACCTGTTACTCTCTCGCTAAAAATAAATTAAATTAATAAATCAATAAATTTCCTCCCCCTTTCGGTCCTTCTTATTGGCATCTTAGTCAACAAATCAAGGTGGAGCACAAATCCGGATTTGCATCTCAGGCAACACTTGTCACCGTCCTCCTCGATCTTCATCATCATCTCTCTTCTTCGCCAATCTTCATTTATAGAAAAAAAAAAAAAAAAAAAAAATTAAGGTTGTAGGGTGAATATGAGCAAGGGAGAAGAGGAAGAACATCAGAACCCATGTTTGTGATAAATAAATCAATAAATTTCATCTCCCTTTCGTCCTTCTTATTGGCATCTTAGTCAACAAATCAAGGTGGAGCACAAATCACGGATTTGCATCTCAGGCAACACTTGTCACCGTCTCATCGATCTTCATCTCATCTTCTTCGCCAATCTTCATTTATAGCAAAAAAAAAAAAAAAAAAATTAAGGTTGTAGGGTGAATATGATCAAGGGAGAAGAGGAAGAACATCAGAACCCATGTTTGTGATAGGAAATCAATAACTCTATTGATTCATTATTAGCTGAACACAGGACAACAAAGGATGGGGGATAAGTTTTGATTGAGAGTAAGGAGAAGCTTTGATGATGGAGGACAAGGGAAAAGCTTGGATGGAGCAAATCTAAAACAAAGCAAACAACGGAGCCTTGTCAAATTTGAAGCTATTGAAAGTAAGACACTAATCAAAGATGGCCATTGATGAAGAAGAAGCTTTGAAGAAATTTGAAGATATTTTGTGAGCCGAAAGGTAATTGCTGGAGAAGAGCCTATAATTTTGAAGAATCTTAAAGAATATTTTGGTCAGCTAAATTAATTTCATAGGGTCTAAGGTGTGAGTCAAATTTCTATTCCCTTTTTTTGAATTTCAATTCTCAAGCTTTAAATTTCATACCAACCAATCAAAGAAATTTTTTGATTTCTTTTTCATTTTCTGGTCCTAGAGCTTACTTCCAGTGAACCAAATGAGTCCTAAGTATTTTAATTTTAATTTTAAACGTGTAAAAAAAATCAAATATAAAGTATACATAAAATTGAAAGGCATTGCTTGACAATACACTTCCCTCTCCCTCATTATTTTAATCCTTTTTTACTAGTTTAATTTTGAATGTTTAGATTTACTCATGTTTTTTATTTTAATGATTTTATAACTTATTCAATTTAAACTATCTCTCTAATTCAAATGATTGATGTTGAAAATAAAAAAGAGACGCCCTAGAAAGCTGATAATTGAAGGCACCTGCTTTCTTCTTTTTGCCTTTGGTGTGGATGATGTGTAAGCGACGGCCCCTCCTCGTCCTTCCTAGGTTATCTATCTTCTGTGTGCCTCTTTGTACAACGGAAAGAGAAAGAACATAAAAAGAAGATTAAGACGCACATTTTAATTTAATTTTTAAAATTTAAATTAAGACTTAAACTAAATATTTTTCTTAAAATATCTGTAAATTGAAGTAAAAATATTAAAAGTGTAATTTAAATTAGTTCGTTTTATTGTGCTATAATTTAGGTTTAGTGTGAACACAAAATAGTAAAGTAACAGGCGATAGTTTCCCTAACGAGGGGGAACATGATAGGATTAAGTAAAGAGCATGAGTGTCAACTCAGCGATTACATCCAAATCAATGATGGCTTGAGGCCACTCTTCATTGTTTTCAACCAAGTTGGGATGAACTCCATTACATTACTTGCTCCTCTGCCTACCTTTTTCCCCCACCTTCATCATCATCCCTTTTCCTTTTCTTTTAGAAGCTGGCTCTATAGGAACTCCACACTCACTTTTACTCACATTCTCTCTCTTCACTTTCTCAGATTTTTTATATTTTAGATCTGCAAGATATTAAAATTTCTAAAGTAAATGCTCTCCTTTTTTTGTTTTTAAAATAACCTAGATCAGGTTGAGACCTTTCTGGTAGAAACTATAATACTAAACACTACTATGTCTTTATTCTCAAAGTCTTCTATTTAAATTAATTCAACTTCTTTACTAGTTGAATGAAACACTTGTTTGGTAAAAAGTAAATGCCATTTTAAAAGTATTCTTATTTCAAATTCCAAGTTCTTGTTATATTTTTAAGTAGGGGTGACAATAAATATATCTTGATTCTTGTGCGTATTGGCAAAGGATGCTGGGCAAAAAAATCCAGGCCCTTAGATGTAATTTTCTCCGAACGAAGTGGCACTAGAAATTCAATCTGACCACTTTTCCACCTTATCAAGTTTAAATATCTCAGTATCTTAACCACCATCCCCTAAACTGATAATAACAGTTCCAATCTCTTGCCCCACTAAATGTAAGACCTGCAAATCAGAAAAAACAAAGTGCCCGGGTACGATGATGCGTCACCTTCCTTCATCCCCAAGTGGCAACTGGGGTCCGACGATTGATCTTATCTCAAAGCGCATAACTAACAAGACCAGATATTTTTACAGACCAACAAAAAGCAAGCTCAAGATTCACGACCAGATATTTTTAAACACTCGATGCAATGCTGGGGCTTCTTATAATAACTTAGCATCTATAAGCACGTCGCAATATGAAAACGTTGATAGGCACCATGAACATGACTAGACATTCAATTTTTGAACAAAATGTTCTGCTTCGCAAAAACACAACCACGAGCTGCAAAGAGCACAGAGCAATAGCATGAGAAAACCTCTGATCTTTGTATGAGACACTCTTGCATGAGAGTCCTAACAATTGGCATTCATAAAACATTTCTATTTGATTCTCGTAACCAGAGACATTTATGTTTTCTAAAGTTCATCTTCATCGTCACTACCTCCCCAAACATGGAAGCCATTTTCAAGGCCAACTTTGCAGCCATTTCCCTTCTCTGGAAATCAGGCATCAATCTTAAGCCAGCACGCATATTGCCTATCTCTGACATTAACTGTTCCAAATCCTCTAAGTCAAAATCTTTACCTGATTCCCCTTCTCCTTCAGAATCCTCAACTTCCTTGTGACTCTCATCCTGCAATACAGTGCTTGAGGTCGAGGCCTGCAAATTTTTATCAGAACTAGTTTTCGTCTTTAAGTTCACAGTCTGTGACAGGGTTGTTCTGCGAAGCTGATTTTCCAGCATCTAAGGGAGCAGCAGAAACCCATCTTTGTTCTGGGTCATCCCAAGGATCAGCTGAACCAGCTGATAAGACTTCAATACTCCAATTCATAATCAGATTCTTCTGAAGACGACTCTGAAAGAAAAAACCATAAATAGTAAAATATGCATGATATATAACAGGAAGTGGCATGTAGATTGCTCCAAGAAACAAGAAGAATTAATGGAAGAAAAACCTTTCTCAGGTAAAGATGGTTCATTTATTCTATCACCACCAGATTTTAAAATCATCCCAGGCCACATATGAGCAGAAAGAGCACCAAATAGCCGTTCAACTCCTTGTGAATCACCATCAACAGACAAGCCTGCCAACAAGTGTTTATTTTATTTCAGTGATACAATTCGTGTATTGATCTAGTACGATTTGAAAACGATCTTCCATTGTTCATGATAATGTTCTAAATGTCATCCTTCAATAACTAATTGTCATATAAAACTGACCATCTTCATACATTATGATTCTAACTCATCCACATGACTACATGAGAAACTGAGCATATCTCAGTGAAATTTAGAGGAACCCACATGTCGAATTAAACATTGGACTAGATCATTGGAACAGAAAGGCAGAAAAGTTTTACATTTGTCAAAATCAGCATTGGAAGCACACGCCTCAATGAATTCAATGTTACGTTCAGTAAACATTCCAAACAAGATCTTCTGGAATCCCATGTTGGATCTTCATTCCCCAACAAACTAGTTCCTTCACACTCAGCTATACCATACTCAGTGAACTCAGCACATGGATCAATAACAGAGTTTTTTCTGGTTTTTCTGCAAATCGTCTTCTGTATTCAGCATGAACTGGATGATCAGGAACCAGGTCCACTTTGTTTCCAATACATAATAATATCTCAAAATTTGAATATCAGAGCGTGACACCCAATCTTGGAGTGCAGCTAGAGAAGATAACTGCACATAGTTTAACAAGAACAAAGATATATTACATCAACATTTCATCACTTACACACATGTATGCACATAGAAAACAAGAATATGGTTCAAGAACAAATTCATACATGATCAAGGATCACGTAACATTTCGCTTAAGAATTACGTGGTAACACTAAAATAAAAAAGGGGTCAGTGAAGGATGCTAACATCACTCATGTCAAAAAACCATCACCAAAGCAGTCAATTGTGAAATATGGGCAGGTTCCAAACAGAAAAGTCATCACTGAGATGAGTCATCCATACAGAGACATCAGCGGTGTAGTACTTGGTATTGATGGTCCACCTGTTAGTTGCATGAAACACACACTGAGGGAGTTCTGAAGAGATGTTGTTAAGCAATGGGGGTAGAGAAAATTATTCACGAGCAACATACCCATGGACAGATACATCAGAGGAAGAATCGGAAGCATCTTCAAATCAATAGAGAGCAATCCTAAAGTCAACGGAGTACATCAAATCAATTTGCGCACATGAGAAAAAAAATCAAATTCATTAGTGATCCAAGAATGATGGATACAATAACATAGAATTAACTAAAACACAAAGCCTTGGTACAAAATGTTGGTTAAAATGCAAGAACATATTAACAAGCCACCTCTGCACGAACCATTCAATTAAAAGTCATATCCAATCATTAAACTTTGACAATGAGTTAATTTCATGAATTAGATGGCAGACACAGTTCTAAACTAAATCTTCTAAGAAGCCAACAGAGAAAATTGATGAGGAACATTAAAATTTAAAGCAAACCGAAGTATAGATAAAGCTTTCGCGTAAATATAGAAGCAGCTAAGCTTAATTATTGGTTGGTCATGAAAAAACAAACTTAATTGCATAAAACTATTTCAAAGGCGTCGGCGGATAAGGAGAGAGGAGAGAAACTAACGGGATAAGAGCGTGCGTTTGCCAACATTGGAAGATCCAATCACAAGGATCCCGGGTCGATTCTCTAGAGCATTCGGATCCTTCTGAGAATCTCTAGCATTCATGTTCACTGCCAAGTTTGAATTTCACTGAATGAGAGAAATAATATTGATTATCTGTGTCCAAAACCCTAGGGAATCAGCTCGAAATTGCCTTCCCCAACTCTGGCACTGTTCCTCGAAATTGTTTCTCCACTGCAAACCTCTCCTCGTCACTCAAATCTACCCATTGCTTTAATCGGGTGGCAGATGAAATGACACGTGGATTATAGCCACTGCTTTTTCCCTAAAAAGCGCAGAATTGCAACTTGCTGGATGCAAGCACAAAACTGAAGGCTGTGTCCAACGACGGGGATGATCCAGGGCTAATGAATTGGAAGGGCGAAAGAAAAATTAATACGTTAAGCGATGCAGCCTCCGTGAAGGACCCGGCGAGAAGATTCCGGCGCCATTCGCTGCAAGTGACTTCGACAAAGTAATCGACACTGCCACTCCCTATTGGAGACCCAAACCGGCTCTCTTCCTTGTCGTGCATTGCCACCCTCCGCTGCCTCGTCCGGGTCTAGTCATCTCCCAGGACGGGGGCGGAAGCTTCGCCAATTCGACTGTTCGCGGGACAGCGGCACGCCGTTAAGAGTACTAATCAATGGCTGTGCTTGTTTTTACATGTTAACTTATTTTAGATAGCAGGGTAGGGATTGATTGATTAAATTTGAATTTTAAATTTAAAATAATTTAAAGTTTGTGCATTTAAAATTTTTATTTGGATACTGTAAAAAAATGCATTTAAAATTATTTATTTGGATACTGTAAAAAAAATTTTAAAAGTTTAGAAGAAAGATTAAGAATGATGAGCTTATAATTAACAAATATTCATCCATTTGGTAAGGATTTCACACATAATTCATAAGATTGTATAGTTAAATCTTGTAGTTAAGGTGAGGAGGAAAAACAAAAGCAATAAAGGCATTAATAGTAAAAACGTGAAATAACAATATAGTATGAGTAGTTGAAATTGCAAATAAGGGTAAAGGAGTAAGAATATCGACGAAGTCATCGATTAGGAGCTTTCAATAGCTTAAAGTGAAAAAATGCAAACAAATATCCATAACGTTTCAAGTTAGTGCAAAAGTGATCAATTCATTAAATTTCTCAAATGTTAACTATTTAGTTGACATCTAAGCAAACGTTAACTATTTTTTTGGCTGATATGAACTAAAAAAAAGCAAAAATACTCATAAAGTCGTCGACTAGAGGAATCCAGTAGCCTAAATAAGAAAAAGGGAATGAATACTCATTATGTTACTTTAATAAGTACAATAGTGATCAATCTGTCAAAATTTATGCCATGTGGTTTCTTTTCATTCTGCATACTCTTAATAGAGATTTTAAACATCTATCAAGCGAAGGCTTCTCGAAGAATTTTCGACGATTAAGCATGATTGTAAAATTGCCAAATACCAATCACAATTAGCTACCAAATCCAAGGTAATCAAAGATCAATCCCGAATAAAAATTATCAAGTTTGTTATTTATATAAATGAGATCTCAAATTTTCATAAATTAATTTTACTAAAATATCACTTAATAAATCTCTAATCATAGTAAAATAATTTTTAAAAAGCATAGGATATCTCACAGAAGTGAAAAGACTTAAAAACAGTTGAAAAATAACAAATCATAAAAAATAGGGTAATGCATCGCGGCTACCCCTTTTCTGTGCAACGTGTCACGGTGTGTTGCACATATTAGACAGCAATATGCTGTCATTTGATAGCAAATCAAGTCAATTTTTGACGTGTTTTATTTCTCCATCTGACATTCGAATGAGGTGATTTAAGTTTTATCAAAAAATCTTTTCATAAATTAACTAATGACATGAGTTTTACTTTTAAATTAAGTCACATGAGAAAGTTAGACATCCAAACATTTTTCATAACTTTTCTCACTTTTTACAATTTTCACAACTAAAGGAGTGCCCAATATAACATCTCAAACTTTAATCCCTAGATTATTAAAGAATTAATTAAGTTTAATCATGATAATTGAGTAATTTGATGTGAGGTGTGGTCAAGGAGGTCTATAATATATATTCGGTTGTGTTTTCAGCTTAAATTATGGCTCTGAAGTGAAGTTGGGCCATCTAAGTATCAAAAGTGGGAGAAAAACGTGAAAGGATGTCTTTGTGCCACATGTTGTGACATATAGCTTATCCACCGCAGTGCGTAGATGACCATCAAAGCAGGAAGGCCTCTCCATGCCATGCGTTGCCACACGTGCTTCGTGTGCTGTGACGCACAGCCTATTTTTTTCAATTTTAAGTCACGAACAGATGGAAAATTTGAAGGAGAAAAAGGGAGAAACCAAGAACAAGTGACCAAGCTTGGCTAGGTTTCAATTGAAAGAGTATTATAAGTATTTTGAAGCTAATAATCACCCAAAGTAAGTATCTTGTACTACATTCCTCCCTCTTTCTTCCATTTTAAGGGAGATTAGAATTAGGGTTTAAGTTGAAATGATAATTTTTGGTTTATATAGGTTATAGTTCTGAAACCATTGACTTAAATAGAGTAAATGAGAGTTTATTAGAGTATTTAAATCTAGAGATGATGAGTTTTGACATCTTAGGTTGGTAAACCTTATAAATATCTAAAAATAATATTAATGAGGGTTATTGGAAGCCATTAATAAGAGTTTAATGGATCATTAATAATATTGTAAGCTAAAGATAGATAATAAGCCTAATGGATAGGCCTAAATGTGAAAAATATAGGCATTGTATAATCTAGATATGGAAAGTGTGAGAGTTGAAATTGTGGTTTGATATTGTTGATGAAGTTTAGAATTGATTGATTATAGATTAAGCATTTAGGCACTATATTTGACTTGAAAAGTAAGTTTGGAATCTTAATATTAAGGGGTAAATCCTTGACCTTTCAAAAGTTTGAGGTAATTGAGAGAAATTCTATTTTAGATAGTTATTTGTTAATTGATCGTAAATGTGAAATGTGTTTGTTGCTTCTATATTTTGACTATGAATGTGTAAGCATGCTATGAATTCATGAAATTGTATAATTGCTTTGATTTGAACTAAAGATGCAAAAGTGATTTTGAAATGAACTTTAAATTACAATGTAGTGTGAAAATGATTAGTTAATGGTGAGAATAATAGTGATGATTGTGTTGAGGTGGAAACGTGATAAATATATGAGATTTATGTGATAAATGAGAAAAATGAAAATCGATACTCACTTAGGTAGTGCATAATCGTGAGCCCAATGTTGATGTTGAAAATGGTATGGAGAAAAATGAGTGGGCATTGTACATTACATGATCAATCGGCGAGAGTTCGCCTAGGAAGAGGAATAGATAAAATCCATATAGTATTTTTGGTTATCTTCTGGTGCACGATGATATAACCTTGTTTTATAATTTTTCAAGGAACTATCTCATAAGTTGTTAAGAGACTGAAACCTAACTATCTCCATTAGTTTATTTAGGAGATTAGCTTAGAGTATACAACACCCCATAGATTTAAGAGTAGGGGAAGCCATGGTCTAAGAGTGAGTACTGTGATCTTTGATTAGGTCATACATCACAATTGGTGAGGTTGGGTAGTCCAATCATATAGACAGAGTCTTATTTGATATTATAGCCCACATTTTCAGTTGAAGGAAATAAGGAGAGTATAATGATGGTTTGTTCATACATATGTGTGTTTATATGACATGTCACATGATTAAATTGTGGTAAGTCGTGTTAATTATTGGGTCATAATTACATGTCTAAGTGTTTTGTAGCTATATACTTGATGATTGAAATGAAAATGAGTGAATTGAGAAAAGAGAAATTGTGATTTATGTGTTAATGTGTGTTTGAGAAAGTTTATTTCAAACTTATGTGTGTATTTCAATTGATATACAATTACATAGGATAGATTTACCTTAGTTACTAAGTAGCTAGAGTCACTCATCTTCTTTAATATTTTATAGGCTCTAGCTCGGGTATAGAGAAGGAGAAAGCTCCTGAGGTTTAGGCATTCATGCATTCCTTTTGTATGCCTCTATGTTTCAATTATTTAATTTGCATAATAGATTAATATTGCTAACTTAAGATGCATTTTGTTACACTTGTACTATATAGTTAATTATGATGTCTGGAATGTATTTTGCACCATGAGATGTGGTTAATGATAAGTTGTAAATGTTGATAGGGCCAAAATACTAGTACAAGTCTAGTGAGGATTGTTTAAGCATGATATGATTCATTTTTAATGAAATGCAATGCTAAAACTTTTCCTTTTTGTTTTTGATATTAAAGGGGTTAAGGAGTAAAATTTTGATACAATGTTATATTTATGCATGTGGTGTGTTATACTAGTAGTCCTAGATTCAATAAATGTGGTCCAAGTGTTATGAATAGCTTTTAGCACTTGTATAGAGTTTTGGACACCCTTTTTGTTGATAAAGCTGAGAAAAGTGGTAAAATTGTGTTTGGGTATCTAATTTCCTGATGTGACTTATTTTAGAAGTGAAACCTGTGCCATTAACTAGTTTATAAAATCAACTTTCTGTACACAGGTAGATCATGTCATTTGGATATTAGACGAAGAGATGGGGCACGTTAAAAGTGCCTAAATTCTGCTATCAAAATGACAATAGAATTGCTATCATAAGCATGCAACATGTTATGGCACGTTGCACAGAGAGCAATAAACTATAGTGCAGAGTGCGTAAGCTACGATGCATTACTCTATTTTCAACAAACATGATGTTTTTTTAATTGTTTTCAAATTTTTTTACTCTTTTGAGGTATCTCATACTTCTATAACTTGATTTTACTCTGATAGAAAGGTTGAATGTAAGATTTTGACTTATTTTTAAACTATAAAAATGTGGGATCCCTTTATTTTAAGTCATAACTTGATAATCTCTTTATGAGTTAATATCTAGATTATCATGATTTATGGTTTTAATTGTAATTAGAGTGAGGAGATTTTACATCCAAAACTCCATACATGTGTTAAAAACTATTCCCAACACCCAAAACATACTCAAAGGACCTATGATTACCTATACAACACACCACACGCATGTATACCCATCAATATCAATTTTTCACTCCTTAACCCCTTTGATAACAAAAAATAGAAAGGAGATGTTTCAAAATTGCATTTTAAAATCAACATTCACAGTTATGATTAATCAACATCTCTATACTTATATTAGTATTTGGCCTTATCAATACTTTAACATCTTATATACAATATTCTAGGGTCTAAAATACATCACAAATTCATTAATAATAGTACAGCACAAGTGTAAACAAAATACATTCTAATTAATAATATTATATGTATTACATAAAATAAATCTAAAGTAAGAGGCTTTATAGTAGCGATTCCATATTCCTAAACCTCTGGAGCTTTCCCTTTCCGTACTAAAGTTAGAACCTGTAAAATATTGAAAAAAAGGTATGAGTCCATTTACTTAGTAACTAATGTATACTTACCCTATGTAATTGCACATCAATTGATATGCACATAAATATGAGTGAATTACTCAAAAACATTCAATTACATGTGATTTAAGTTATTATTTTATAATTTATTTCACTTTGACATTTCTCAATTCAATTCATACATTATCACAATACACACAAGTATGTGACAATTACCTAAACGCATCAATTCAAACACATCACC